GCACGGCGGACGAAAAGAAAGCAAGGCAGAAAATTAGTATGTTTGCCGTGTTCTTTCGTTTTGGGTGTGTATGTGCCGTGCTCCTTAGCGCTTGGGGTGTAGTCTGCCGTGCTCCTGGTCTTCTTCTGCCGTACTCCTTCGCTCTTCGGGCCTATTTTGCCGTGTTCCTGACTTGCCGCCCTCCTTAGCTCTTGGGGTCTACTCTGCCGTGTTCCTGGTTTTTTTTGCCGTTGTCCTTCGCTCTTGGGGCCTAGTATGTTGTGTTCCTTAGCTCTTAGGGTTTATTCTGCCGTGTTCCTGGTCGTTCTCTGCCTTGCTCCTTCGCTCGTGGGGCCTCTTCTGCCGTGCTCCTTAGCTCTTGGGGTCTATTATGCCGTGCCCCTGATTTTTTGTATTGCCGTGCTCCTTCGCTCTTGGAGCCTATTCTGCCGTGCTCATGGTGTTTGGTTTCTGCCGTGCTCCTTCGCGTTTCGGGCCTATTATGCCGTGCTTCTGGTCTTTTTCTGCCGTGCTCCTTAGCTCGTGGGGTCGATTCTGCCGTGCTCCTGGTCTATTTCTGTCGTGCTCTTTCGCTCTTGGGGTCTGTTCTGCCGTGCTCCTGGTCGTTTTTTTTTCTGCCGTACTCCTTGGCTCTTCGGGCATATTCTGCCGTGCTTCGGTTTTTGTTCTGCCGTGCACCTTAGCTCTTGCGGTCTATTCTGCCGTGCTCATGGTCTTGTTCTGGCGTATTTTTCGCTCTTGGTGCCTATTCTGTCGTGCTCCATCGCTCTTGGGGTCTATTAGGCCGTGCTCCTGGTCTTTTTCTGCCGTGCTCGGCAGCTCTTGGGGCCTATTCTGCCGTGCTCTTGGTTTCTTTTTCTGCCGTGCTCCTTCGCTCTTCGGGCCTATTCTGCCGTGCTCCTGTTTTTTTTCTGCCGTGCTCCTTCGCTCTTGGGGTCTGGTCTGCCGTGCTCCTGGTCTTTTTCTGCCGTGCTCATTTGCTCGTTGGGCCTATTCTGCCGTGCTCCTTGTCTCTTGGGTTCTATTCCGCCGTGCTCCTGTTTTTTTTTTGCCGTGTTCCTTCGCTCTTGGGGCCTACTCTGCCGTGCTCCTTAGCTCTTGGGGTCTATTCTGCCGTGCTCCTGGTCTTTTTCTGCCGTGCTCCTTCGTTCTTGGGGCCTATTTTGCCGTGCTCCTGGTCATTTTCGGCCGTGCTCCTTAGCTTTTGGGGTCCGTTCTGCCGTGCTCCTGGTCTTTTTCTACCGTGCTCCTTCGCACTTGGGGCATATTCAGCCCTGCTCCTTAGCTGCTGGGGTCTATTCTGCCGTGTCCGGTCTTTTTCTGCCGTGCTCCTTCGCTCTTGAGGCCTATTCTGCCGTGCTCCTGGTCTTTTTCATGCCGTGCTCCGTCGCTTTGGCGGTCTATTCTGCCGTACTCCTTTGCCCTTGGGGTCTATTCTGCCGTGCTCCTGGCTTTTTTCTGCCGTGCTCCTTCGCTCTTTGGGCCTATTCTGCCGTGCTCCTGATATTTTTTCTGCCGTGCGCGCCCAGAAGCTCCGCCAAAACGACCACCGCGACGATCCGCACGGCAGAATACAGGAACACGGCAGAACACACAGAGCACACAGAGGCACGGCAGAACACAGAAGCACGGCAGAACAGGAGCACGGCAGAACACACAGGAGCACAGCAAAACACACCCCGCACGCACGCCGACACGCGCGCCACGGCATACCTGCGCGGCGTAACAACAACAGAGCAGATTCCACATGCTTGGTGGACTAAAGCGACGCTTCCCGTTCTTGTCCGGTCAGGTTCCCCAAAACAGCGGTTTCGCTCGAGACATCTTCCGAAAATGGAGATGTTGGAGGCTATCGTTTAAGACGTGTTCTGTTAAAAATGACGTTTTCGCTTGAGACATCCTCGGAAAGTCTGGATGTTGGAAAATGTCAAGGATTTCGCTGCGCATGGAAAATGAGCTTTTCGGCCGAGACATCCTCGCAAAACTGATATGCTGGAAAAGCTGTTTTACTACTTCTCATGTAGAAAATTGCGCTTTCGCTCGGGAGATCCTCAGAAAATTGGGAGGGGCGCGGCAGACCGAAAAAGGAGCACGGCAGAAAATGATCATCTCGCTGGGGACATCCTCAAAAAATGAGATGTTCGCAACATCGCCTCGAGATCGTTCTCGAAGTGCTTCAAGATGAAGAAATGGGAGCCCCAAAAGGAGCCCAAGATGGCTCCAACAGCGCCTTGGAGACTGCCGACAATGACGATTTCGCTATGGACGTCCTCAAAAAATGAACAAATGCAACAACATCGTTTTGAAAACTGCTGTTCTAACATCGTCTTGGAATCGCTCCTAAAAAGGCTTCCTGATGGTCTAAGCCAGCCTCCTAAGAATAACGATTTCGCTATGGACATCCTCAAAAAATCAATGTGCCTAACATCGCACTGGAATGATTTTGGAGGGCTCCAAGACGGCCCAAAAGGGCCCAAAACGAGCCCCAATATGACCCCCAGGATCGCCCTCGAGACGACCCCAAAATGTGATTTCGCCTGAGGCATCCTCCCAAAATTGATATGTTCGTAACATCGATGTTATCAAAAATAAGCAGTTCGCCTGAGACATCCCCCAAAAATGGGAAGTCGCGAATTTCACATCTGATCAAAAACTTGTGTATCGCCTGAGACATCCTCACCAAAAATGATATGTTGGAGAGGTGGTTTTACTACCTCCCATGTTAAAAACAGCGCTCTCGCTGCAGAGATCCTTAGAAAATCGGGCGGAGCATGGCGGACGAAAAAAAGAACACGGCAGAGAATGAGTATTTCTGCCGTGCTCCTTCGTTTTTGGGGTCTATCTGCCGTGTTCCTTCGTGCTTGGGGTAGATTATGCCGTGTGTTTGGTCTTATTATGCCGTACTCCTTCGCTATTCGGGTTTCTTATGCCGTGTTATTGGTCTTGTTCTGCCGTTCTCCTTCGCTCTTGTGGCCTACTCTGCCGTGCTCCTTAGCTCTTAGGGTTTATTATGCCGTGTTCCTGGTCTTGTTCTGCCTTGTTCCTTCGCTCGTGGGGCCTCTTCTGCCGTGCTCCTTAGCTCTTGGGGTCTATTCTGCCGTGCTACTGTTTTTTTTCTGCCGTGCTCCTTCGCTCTTGGGGCCTATTCTGCCGTGCTCCTGTTTTTTTCTACCGTCTTCCTTCGCTCATGGGGCCTGTTCTGCCGTGCTCTTGGTTTTTTGTGTTCTGCCGTGCTCCTTCGCTCTTCGGGCCTATTCTGCCTTGCTCCTGGTCCTATTATGTCGTGCTCCTTCGCTCTTGAGGCCTATTCTGCCGTGCTCCTTCCGTGCTCCTGGTCGTTTTCTGTCGTACTCCTTGGCTCTTCGGGCCTATGCTGCCGTGCGTCGGTCTTTTTCTGCCGTGCTCCCTAGCTCTTGGGGTCTATTCTGCCGTGCGCATGGTCTTTTTTTTCTGGCGTCTGTTTCGCTCTTGGGGCCTATTATGCTGTGCTCCTTAGCTATTGGGGTCGATTCTGCCGTGCTCCTGGTCTTTTTCTGCCGTGCTCAGCAGCTCTTGGGGCCTATTCTGCCGTGCTCCTGATTTTTTGTCCTGCCGTGTTTCTTCGCTCTTCGGGCCTATTCTGCCGTGCTCCTAGTCTTTTTCTGCCGTGCTCCTTCGCTCTTGGGGCCTATTCTGCCGTGCTCCTGATCTTTTTCTGCCGTGCGCGCCCAGAAGCTCCGCGGAAACAACCACCGCGACGATCCGCATGGCAGAATACAGGAGCACGGCAGAACACACAGAGCACACAGAGGCACGGCAGAACACAGAAGCACGGCAGAACAGGAGCACGGCAGAACACACAGGAGCACAGCAAAACACAACCCGCACGCACGCCGACACGCGCGCCACGGCATACCTGCGCGGCGTAACAACAACAGAGCAGATTCCACATGCTTGGTGGACTAAAGCGACGCTTCCCGTTCTTGTCCGGTCAGGTTCCGAATGTGGCCGAGCACTTACGCTCAATCCCATGAGCTTGAATTGTTCGTTTCGGTCTACCAGCGTGCGGCTCGCAGGGCAATTGGTCGTGGGAGCGATGGCGATGAGACGATTGGTTGCAGAAGAGCGGGAATAGTCATGGCACTGAGTGGAAACACACATAGCAGACAACGTCGATTCCAAATAGAAACTCGATCCTGCTTTACTCTACAGTACCATACTTTATCCGTAAGGGCTTCGCCTCCTGCCGCCGGCCGCCTCCCTATCATAATGGGATGTATGAGGGTCGCGTCGGTGCGTCTTGGCACTGCCTTGGCACATCTGGGAACATCATGCGGGGGTGGATGGGAATCATCAGCGCATATCGAGACGTTGGCATTATCGAAGTTGCCTACGGCGAATCACCGCCGCCCCCTGCCTTTTGAAATCGCCCATGTGACCGAGCTTTGTGGCAAGAGCTCTGCCAAGCTATCGGACCATGCTTTCCCCCAACCGTTGCGGAAACCCTGCGGAAAATTTGTAGGGGAGGATGGCGGGGAGGGGGCATCTTGGGAGCATCTGGGGGCACTCCTGGGAGCTCCCTGGGAGCCTCTTGGGGGCATCTTGGGGACCTCCTTGGGCCTTTGGGGGGCCTGTTAGGGCTTCTCGAGGCTTCTTTGGCCGTCGCAGGGCATTCCTGGACCGTCTGACGCCGTCGGAAGCCGTCTTGGGGGCCTCTCTGGGCCGACTTGAAACCCTCTTGGGCCTTTTCGTCGCCACGGCAGGAACCGCTTCGAAAAACGGGTCAGGATGGTCCCTGGGAGATGGTCTCCAGGAGAGGGACCAGGGACTAGTGTGGACGGGATTTGGGCCCTCCTCCGATCCTGGGGTCATCATCATAGTTTCTTTCTCTCCCCAGATTTTTGACGGTTCCAACAAATCCCGCCAGGGGATCTTCGCCCTGTTCGGCGCCCGAAGGCCGCTTCTGGGCAGTCGGTACGGCCATCCAAAATCGGCTGAGGATGAAAAGCTGGCCAGGCGACTCGAGAAAATTCGAGTCATCGGAGGTCTGGGCCTCCGTAGCCACTCCAGCTCAAGGCAGACGCCAGCTGCCCGTCGTCCGTGGCCGCCCTGAAGCCGACGCCTGCGCTGGCACCGCGGACCACCATGCCTGGCTTGGCAGCGGTGCCAGAGGTGGCGCGCGACGTCATCGCTGGCGGCACGTCCACTGCTGCGGTCTCGGCGCTGCTCAACCCAGTGGACGTCGTGAAGACCCGCAGGCAGGTGGGCATCGGCAGGGGAGCGGTGGCCGAGGCGCAGGCGGCGTGGCGGCAGGCAGGTGCATGGCGGGGCCTCTGGAGGCCTGGGTTATCTGCGTCCGTGGCGCGCGAGCTGCTCTACAGTGGGTGCACCAAAGGTCTCTACCCGATGGCCCGTGACCTCGTCACCCCGAGCAACAGGGAGCCAGGATTGCAGCACCGCGCGCTAGCAGCAGCCTTGACGGGGCTCGGCGGGTCGGTCTTCGCCAATGGCCCAGACGTGGTGAAGGTTCGCCTGTTCGCGGAGCCTGGCCGCTACCCAGGCTTCATGGCTGCGGTGCGGGAGATCTGCGCAGGCCCCGAGGGCGCCGTGCGCGGGTTGCTGCTACGGGGCGTCAGCGCCTCGGCCCCCCGTGGCGCCGCCATCGCCATTGGAGAGGTGACCACGTACGACCAGACCAAAGTCGTGCTCGCGCGGCACTGGCCTCGCCATACCGGGGCCAGCTCCGCAGACGCCTCGGACCGCTGGCGAGAGCCGTTTTCGTTGCACGTGGCCACGTCCCTCATCACGGGCGTCGTCGCGACCACAGTGGCGGCCCCCTTCGATTGCATCAAGAGCTGCGTCATGGCGGACGACGGGGGTCGGTACCCTCGCGGCTTCATTGACGTGGTTCAGTCATTCAGCAGAAGCCCAGGAGGACTTCTGATGCTATTCCGCGGGTGGTGGCCCGCCTACTGCCGGCTCGGCCCGCACGCGATCCTCACCTTCCCTCTGCTCGAGCAGGTGCGAAGGCTGCTGGGCCTGGAGTACCTCTGAGTTGGCAGCCCGCGGCGCGCCCCACGCAGGCTGCTGCGCGCCAGGTGCGGGCGCCGTGCACCAGTGCGAGCGCCGCCGCTTGCCGCGCTTGCCGCGCCGAGCTGGCGGCTCGCAGGAGCCCGAGGTCCGCTCCCCGCAGCCAGCTGCCTGCGCCCCAGCGCGAGCGCTCGCCGCGCCCGCACGCGCCGCGCCGCTCGGCAGCACGCGCCCGCCTCGAGGTCCCCGTCGTTCGCTGACGCATGCGCTAACGCTCGCTGGCGTCGGCGTCGCCGCCGCGGGCGCCCGCGCCGCCCCGCCGAGGGTGCCCACGTCACCCGCAGGGGCACATAGGATGATGGCGCTCCGCGGTCTGGATCGGAGAGCTGTCCCTCTCTCCAGGGCTTCGACGCGAGAGCGCGAGGCGCGGGGGGAAACCTCGAGGGAGGAGGAGGAGGAGGAGGAGGACGAGGAGGAGGAGGAGGAGGAGGGGGAGGGGGAGGAGGAGGAAGAGGAGGAGGAGGAGAAGGAGGCGGAGGAGGCGGAGGAGGAGGAGGAGGGAGGAGGAGGAGGAGGGAGAAGGAGGGAGAAGGAGGAGGAGGAGGGCCAGATATCCAGCGTGGCCTTTCGTCGCCGAGATGCTCGTTGTTAGGATTCCCTTCCATCGTCCCTGTCTCTCCTCCACCCGGTGGAAGCCCGAAATCTCTCCTCCGCTCCCCCGTGCGGGAGCTTCCCCGAAGCTGTCGCAGACGTTTGATGTCTTAAGGAAGCGTCCAGAATCCTCTCGGCGGCAGCCCGTATCCGCGCCACCCACCCACCCCGCGCGCTCTCGCGAGCGGAGGAGGAGGAGGAGGAAGAGGAGGAGGAGGAGAAGGAGGAGGAGGAGGAGGAGGGGGGAAGGAGGGAGGAGGGAGGAGGTGTGGTGGGCACGGGCTTGAGCGCAGTTACGCATGCCGAGGGTCCTTCCGACGTGCTTTGCCTGCACGGCGGTCGCGGGCCTCCTCCCTTCTTGAAGAGGCCCACAGAAGTCTCTCGCCTAGGGGGGACTTCTCAACTTATGAAGGGGCCCACTGGGAGAGGGCCCTCCGAGGCTGTGCAGCCTCCTCGCACAGGGCAGAAACAAATCAAAAGGTGCGGTCTGGCCACCTTCGGGCCCAGACGCCGCCCTCTGAGGCCTAATAGCCTCATCGCAGAGGGTGCAGCACGGCACAGAAAAGTGAGAGTGTCATGAACTGTCTGGCCTCATACGGGCCCAGACGCCGTGTGCCAGTCTGGTATAGGCGCGGCACAGTACGAAGTCGTGTGAGGTGGCCGGCCGGCGCGCGCGCCTCTCCCAAACACCGAGTCGACACAATTGAGGGGCGACGCTACGGTGTCCAGTAGCGCGTCATCCTGGGAGACATAGTCCTCATCCAGCCTGCTCGGCTTCACCGGGCTGTCCACGGCGCCCTTCAGGTAGTCCAGCTCCTCCTGAGGTAGTCCCTTCAGGTAGTTCAGGCTGGCTCGGTGCGCGGTGCCGAACGTGCCGTTCGCGAACGGGTCTGTCATGCTGGCCAGTCTGGCTGCCAGCTCGAGGTCGATCTTGGTCTCCCCCTTCACCTTACCGTGGGCCTTGCAGTCCAGGGCGCACTTGGCGTCCTTCCTCAGAAGCTCTCCCAGCTTCTTCGCCGCTGGTTTCAGCGAGAGCTTGTCCTCGGGCCCGTCCTCGGGTTGGCCCAGTTGGGGGTACTCCAGCACCTTGGCGCCCTTGGTCGTCAGGATCGAGGCCGTGATGCGCTTCTCGTCCATGATCTCCCGGTCCGCATTCAGGGTGACCACGGCGCCCTTCAGGTTGTCCAGCTTCTCCTTCAGCGGGAGGCCCGTGACGCTCATCTCCAGGAGCTCGGTCACGTCCTCGGTGGAAGCGTGGGCCCGGTGCGTGGTGCCGTACGTGTCGTTTACGAACAGGCCCGTCAGGCTGGCCAGGCACTCTGCCTGCTCGGGGTCAAACTTGGTCTCCCCCTTCACCTCGTCGTTGGCCTTGCACTCCAGGGCGCACTTGATGTCCTTCGGGATCGAGGCCCTGATGTGTTTCTCATCCGTAATCTCCTGGTCCGCATACAGGGGCACGTTGAGGCCGCATCGGATCAGCATCGTCTTTCCCTTCAGGTCGGCGTTGCCTACGTCCTCCACGGACTTCTTCACAACGATCTTCTCGTCCAGCACCTGCGCGACCTTGCGCGCCAGGAGGGCGACGTCCGCGCCTCGGATTAGCATTAGCCGGAGGCACCGCGCGGCCCAGCCCAGGCGGCAGAGCGCCGCCACAAGGGGCTTCTGGGCCGGCCGTGCGGCCGCCCCAGGAAACATCTCGTGTCGCGGCCGGACCCGCTCGCCTCACGGGCGCGGGCCGACGCGCATGGCAGTTGCCCCGAGAGAGGTTCGCGGATAATTGGTATCCGCGCCCAGAACCTCGAACCCGGGCGGCGGCTGAGAGGAGGAGGAGGAGGAGGAGGAGGAGGAGGAGGAGGAGGAGGAGGAGGAGGAGGAGGAGGAGGAGGAGGAGGAGGAGGAGGAGGAGGAGGAGGAGGAGGGAGGAGGAGGAGGAGGAGGAGAGGAGGAGGAGGAGGCGGAGGAGGAGGAGGAGGAGGAGGAGGAGGAGGAGGAGGAGGGAGGAGGAGAAGGGAGAAGGAGGAGGAGGAGAAGGAGGAGCAAGGCAACGTCGAGGATTCGACCCCTTTGTTTGCAGCCCCGAGGCTGAGGAGGAGAATGGAGTGGGAAAAGTTGTAGAAGGAAGAGGGTGTTGGGGATGCCCCAGCGAGAGGGAGGAGGAAGGAGACATACAAGGGAGGAAGAGGGGGAAGAGGAAGAGGAGGAGGAGGAGGAGGAGGAGAAGCGTTTTTGTTCCTACCTGGCCATGGCATTGCGTAGCGAAGAAGAGCGCCTCATACATGCCCTCACACATATGCGAAAGAGCGCGTTCTGTGGTCGCTTGGAGGAGGGGGGGTTGGAACGGTTGGGCGGGGCCAAGAGACTTGTAACACGCACCTACCTTAAAGCCTACCCATGTTCTACCGTTCGGGAAGGTGTTCCGCATGTTTTGGAATGCTATCCTGCGCAGTATTATGTGTGTACCGTTTCATGGACCTACTCATGCACGGTCGCCTGTCACGCGGGGGGGGCCCTGTCAATTCGCTCAACTCTGTGGCGTGGCCCCAGGGGCCACGGAAACACGCGGCACAGATTCTTTACAACGTGCGTGCCAACGTGTAAACGCTGGAACACGCGTGTGTTTTTCACTCGGAAAGATTACACTGCGCAAGCACAAGTGCACTTCTGTTAACGTTCTCTGACACCCACGCAACCCCAGCGCGCAATGGGGCAAACACGCGCGCAAAGGAGCCATGTTTGCTTAATGCACCAACGGCTGACACCAAACACATTGGGAAGCGAACTAACCGATTAGATTATTCTTTGACGTCTTAACAACGATGCTGTACCGATCCGCATCAGTAATCGTCCCCACGACCGCACATGCAGGAGGCTCAGGCATAGGCGCGCTTGCTGTTGGCATTGCTTCTGCGCCTCGGCGCGTCCACGTCGGGGGCGAGCAGGAAGGCGAGAGGGAGGAGGGGAAGGAGCAGGAAGGGGAAGGGACACGGAAGGGGAAGAGGGGTGCTTCCAAAGGTAGAAGTTGCAAACACGCACTCCCCAGGAGGGCCTCGAACCGACAAAGTTCCAAGTTCGAACTTCGAAGTGCGAATCTCGAAGTTCGGAGTTCGAACTTCGATCTTCGAACTTCTAACTCTGAGCGTTCTGTTTTGGAAGCCACCCGCCAAAAGGAGCGGGATGGGGGAGGACAGGGGAACGGGGGAGGGGGGAGGAAGGGGGGAGAGCGGGCAGGAGATGGAGAGGGGAGGGCGGGCCTGGCTTTTCGCCGTCGGGGGAAGGAAGGAGGGAGGAACAGGGAGAGAGGAGGCTAGTTGATAGCGAGCAAGGCTGTGGCCGCTGGGCAGAGCGACGATGGGGGCGAGCGAGGCTCTGGGCAGAGCGCATCGCGGAATTCCCGCGACGCGCGCTGGTCGCCCCGAGAGGGTCCCAGCGACGCGCACGGGTCGGCCGCGGCGCGAGGCCGAACACTCAGACCGTCGAGAGAAGGCGGGGCTCGGACGGGCCGTTCCTCAGGTCAAGCCTCGCGGATCAACGCGGTGAATCCCAGCTCCCTGGCGAGGGCCGTCGCCTCCCTTCTGCACCGCTTTGTACGCGCAGCAAACTGCTCCAGCTGCTTCCTCAAGCCCTCCGGCGGCCCTGCCAGGAAGAACTCGATGCGCGGCACCCGCACGAGCAGGAGGTCCTCGTGGCGTGTGGCGCGCGAAAGCAACACGTAGAGCTCCAGCCACCAGTCGTCGTCCTCCTTTTTGCCGTTCCCCACCTCGTGGCGGCCGCAGTCCAGGACCACGCCTGGGCGATGTCGGCCGAGGGAGCAGCGCGCCAGACAGCCGACGGCGCAGGGCGAGAGTCCACGGGACCGAGAGAAGGTCTGGCTGCGGACTGCTCCCGCCCAGCAGGTCTGGCCGTAAACTGCCCCAGAGCGCTATTCCCCCGCCCCGTCGCCTTCCCGCATGGTGCGCCCCTGGCACACCACCGCGGTGATGACCCTGCCGTGCGAAAACGGGAAGCCCGTCTGGGTGACCTTGTAGGTGCGGAAGGTGAACGGCTCCGACGTACGGGGTTCGATGGACACCAGCGGGCCCGCGAGGTCTCCCGTGAGGCTGTCGTTGTGGCGCTTCAGGTCGTCCACGAAGGGCGCGCTCGCGTACTTCTCCATGTGCACCCTGAATCCTAGCGGCAAGCGCTTCAGGTAGATCCTCTTCTCCCCGTCTCTCTCGGACTTGTCGACGTCGCCCCTCTCCCGCGGGTCCACGACGATGTGCACGATCTGCCCCTCTGCATCCTTGGCGAGGCCATTCGTGAGGTCGAGCGCCTCCAGGAGCCGGATCCGCATGCCCACGTGCACCGGGAGGAGTCCGTGCATGCCACCAGCGTTCTTCGGGCTGGCGCAGTTCATCGTCTTGGCGGCATCCTTGACGATCATCGTCGGAGCAGACCTGTCGGCGGCCTGCACGAGGAGAGGGGCTTCTTCAGGACGTCCGCGTCCCGCTGGGCACACATGTTCAACCACCGCGCCACGGCGTCCCAGTAGGACCCAATCATGTGGCCGTTCTGGAACCTTTCCTCCCGGAGCCGGCGACCATCCGGTTTCAGTTGCATGGCGTTCCACGTGGCCCGGATGGCCGGAGGGACCTGCTTCCCCGGCTCGCGCAAGAACGCCACGAGATCCCGAAGCTTCGGGTCTTTGAAGCGGTTGGACCACTGGAGCTCGAAGCACAGCGGCGTGTTGCAGAAGAGCTTCATCACGGCCGGGCACTCTGGAGCGAGGTTGATGCCCACCGCCGCGA